AAATCTGTGTCAAGGCCAGCACGCGAGCCCGCCTGACGCGATGAACAACTTAACGGTGTCATCACGCGACGGCGCCTTTCTGCTGCGCACGTGCAGTGAGTCACCTAAGCCAGCGAGCCCGTCGAGCAAGCAACCGGCGCCTTCCTGTCTGGCGGGTCTGACGCAATGCCTGGCGACGTCACTCGTCCTTGGGTGCAGCCACCTGCAGCGCAGCCTCTCCAGATTCGATGAGAAAGAATGACGCGGCCCAGCGGCGACCCCATTGGAGGAGTCTGACCTCATGACCAGCGGCACTTCTGGTTAGACATTTTGTTATTCAAAGAATCCACCTGGTGCATATAAAAAAAGCCCTGCGGCGCGTCGCGAGCAGCAGACCTGTTGGAGAGCAGACATGTGTGTCAGAGAAGAGAGCTATGTGATAGAGAGTTGAGCTATGTGTTAGCAGACTCATTTGAGAGCAGACACATTTGAGAGCAGACCTATGTGTTAGGGAGGAGAGCTCGGCTCTTCGGGTCTCTAAGCTGTCGGCCCCAGTGCCGAATTTGTAATGCCTTTGTATATATGCTGTACATAAACCTTGTTTAACTCACCGTCGTCTCGTCTGCTCGTCTATCAGCTCTGCGCAGAAGCAGTCGCGAGCTGAGAAACCTACGCTACCAAACGGCTGGTGACCTTCCCGGCGGAGTTCGAAGAAGTGGCGCCTTCGGGACCGTGTTGGCGTCGCCGTCTTTCGAAACAGTGGTTGCAGCGGTGAGATTCGTGACGCCCTTCGTAACGTCGTCGGAGGCGCGCTTCGTAACAATACGCAGTGTCTGTTGACGGGAAGGGTAGAAGAATCTTGGAAGAACGCAAATATTAACTTGATCCATAAAAAAGATGTCAAGGACTTGAAAAATTACAGCCCGATTAGCTTACTTACTCTCCTTCCTCAACAAACTATTTACAAAAATAATAGCTAATAGAGTTAAGGCGGCAGTAGGGTACAATCAACGAAAGGACCAAGCATAATTTTATACCGGCTACTTCACAACAGACCGCCTTCATACTATGAATCAGGTAACAGAGAAATGAGCGCAATACAACCTATCCCTATACATAGTCTTCAGATTATGAAAAGGCGTTTGACTCAGTTGAGATATAAGCAGTAATGCACAAACTACGGATCGAGGGCATCGAAGAACCCTACATAGACATATTGAAAGAAATATACCGTGGATCCGCAGTCACCATTGTTCTTCATAAAGAAAACACAGAATCTCAATGAATAAACGTGTGAGGCAGGGAGACACGATCTCTCCAATGGTATTCACCGTGTGTTTACAGGGGGTTTTCAGGACCATAGATTGGGAAGAGTTATGAATAAGAGTTAATGAAGAGTATCTTAATAACCTGCGATTCGCTGATGACATTGCGTTGATGAGTAACCCAAGGGACGAATGAGAGCTCATGATTAGTGAACTTGACACGGAAAGCAGAAAAGTAGGTCTGAAAATAATATACACAAAACTAAAGTAATGTGCAACAGTCTCGGCAGAAAACAGCACTTTGTGATAAGTGGACAGACACTGGAAGTTGTACAGAAATATGTCTACTTAGGACAGGTAGTAACCGCGGAGCCAAACCATGAGAGTGAAATAACTAGAAGAATAAGTATGGGGTGGGTCACATTGAGCAAGCATTCTCAAATCATGAATGTGTCGGTTTTAACACGATCTGCCACTATCCCTCGAGAGGAAGGTATATAACAGCTGCATCTTGCCAGTACTTACCTACGGAGCAGAAACCTGGAGGCTTACAAAGAAGCTTCAGCTTAAATTGAGGACAACGCAGCGAGCGATGGAAAGGAAAATGATAATTGTATCCTTAAGTAAAAAAAAAGAAAACAGAGTGGGTCAGGGAACAAACCGGGGTTAAGGATATCATAGTTGAAATCAAGAAGAAGAAATGGACATAAGCAGGGCTGGTAGCACGTAGGAAAGATAACCGCTGGTCATCAAGGGTAACTCACTGATTCGCAGAGAAGGCAAATGCATGAAGGGGAGACACGAAGTTGGGTGGGTTGATGAGATTAAAATGTTCACAGGTATGACGTGGCAACGGAAAGGACGAAATCGGGTTGATTGGCGGCTCATAAGAGATGCCCGAAAAGTTATCTCATAAGAGCTTTCGCTTAAAAAAAAAGCTGTGCTGAAAACGGCTTGACCAGTTCACAACGCCATAGAAAAAGCTCAAAAATAAAATAAAAAGTCGGAGTGGTATCAGCACAGTGGTAAGCATGGCAATATGGCAGTTCGGTGGGTGTGTCCTAGAAAAAGGCACGTTCCAAACATTGCAAGAGTGGGCTGATCGTTGACGTGTATGATTACACGTGCCGTTTTCTAAGTGGCCGCATCGCTATTGCGAAGTGTTGTCCACAATTAAAAAATAAAGCTGAGTAGTATTCAGGAACACAGAACGCTTCATACTCAGCACAGAATTCATATGTTTCTTTCCTCCTTATATACAGCCCTATTGCGAATCACATCGAGTATATCACCCGTGCGGCCACATAAATGTTGATTCTATAAAGATTTAACTATACATACTCTGTGTTTTTCCCTATTTAAGTCTGTACCATACTCTGGGCTATGTAGTCACCTGCATCGCCTGTGTCGTTGCCTGCATGGCCGATTTTGCGAGAAATTGGCAAACACTACGAATTCAGTGTAATAATGTTGCTTCAGTTGTATGGCGTACGCTCCAGCTGAGTATTTGCGGATTGATTGAAGTTCGACTACTGAATTACGAGACCGAGATGCTATGCGGGAGCCTTTAAGCCGAAACCTTGCCAGAATCGAAGACCAGCTCGAGTTCTGTCTTCGAGGCAGGCCAGATCATGCAAGTGCGCCCTGGGCTCCAGCACTTTGACATGACGTTGCGCAAACACCTGACACGCCAACATCATTGTTCTTTAAAATGCAAGCCATGTCTGTCTCTTCATCCACCATAGTGGCAGAGTCGCTAAGACACTCATCTGCTGACGCGCAGGTAACGGGATCGAATGCCAGTCGCGGCGGTGTCATTTTCGATGGAGGCGAAAATTCTTGAGGCCCGTGTGTTTTGATCTAGGTGCAGAGTAAAGAACCCCAGGTGGTCGAAATTTCCGGAGCCCTCCGCTGCAGTGTCTCTCATAATCGTATGGCGATTTTTAGACCTTACAATTACTATTATTATTATTAGTCGGCCTCTTCATTACTCAGAGTGCAAATGTATCCCTTGTTTTGATAACAGAACCACATTTTTTCAACATGGTGACCAGTCAGCTAGAGAAGTAGCACGCACTGTTTGCATTGAAGTTTTGGAAGATGAGCGCATACGGCACTTGTTTTTTTCCGACGCTTTTCCACACCCTCCTACAGGGTAGCAAACCAGTTCTTCTAGGTTAACCTCCCTGCCTCTTTCTTTTATTTATTTCGCTCTCTCTCCTTCCCGGATAGGGAGATTCTGATGGAGAGTTCTTGCTGTTGATTGGAGTAACCTCGTTGAAATAGCGGTATGTTTGTATGTTGTCTTTTTGAATATAAACGTCAGCTCATAGCGCCTGTAACGGGTCTCATGATGTTATTCTTGCTTTTTTTTCTGCGGGATTCTATAATACAAGACATATCGCTAAATATTTGGCTAGACTTATTATTACACGAGTTAGAACTCAGAAAAGCTATAGCTCCCCGAGTGGCCTGCAGTACACACATTTCGAACAAAAATTGTAATTAGGGTAGCATTTTCTGACGTCACGGTTAGCAGCGTGAATCTGAAAAAAAAATTTCTGCTGCAATTAAGCGAAAGGTACTACCAGTCCAGTGGTTATAAACTTCAATCACCGAGGTCGATAAAGAGTATTCAATTTTGTAATTTTAGCTTCAATAATTCTAGCGTCAGATAGTTCCTGGCATGCGCGCATGGCAGGACATTCGTAGCAGAGAGCGCATTACAGGGACTGTGGCATATGACATGCAACATAGAAAGTTGGGAGTTAAGGTAATAAAAAATGCTAGCGTTTCTTTGTTTCATTTTTTCACTTTTGTAACAATTTAGGATACAATGATTGGAACAAACAAATGCGCACACAAAGATCCCAAAGTCAATGACTGAAACCGGACGTTCGATTGTTACACTATACATCACCCATCCTGCCTTTTCGTCCCTTGCGAGCCGTCTTTTTTTGTGCTCATCATTTATCTTCGGACAGTGCATCAATTCGCACAGCAATCCATTCTGTTTACACTGCCCGAGACATAACACACGATAGACGCTTCAGCGTTAAGTCCAAAATTGGGATCACAATTATAATACACAGTAGTTATACACAGAAATATGTCAACTACTGGACCGACGTACAATTTTTCCTATCATCATTTGCCTTTACAAATCCCTTCTCGTATCAAAAAATGTGGTCCAGCTCACTGAATGTGCAATTCTTGGGAAGATGAAGTAAAAAACGACAGGGATATTCTGGTAGAACAAAATGAACAAGTGTTACACATTTTTAAAATGTTTTACAGTGATTTAGCGTACCATCAACTCTAGGGGACCATCATATAAAGCCAACATCCCCCAGCAAATCATCTTAATATAAATAATCCTAAGAGGTCTAGTGAAAGCAAATGACAGTGTATTGTAAATATAGTCGGAAGAGAAATGTGGGAGTCGACAATTGTTATTCCTAGTTACGTTCATAACGATGCGGCGCACATGTATTAGATTTTTTTTTCATCTTTTTCTCGAATGCAGCTTAGGAGGATCGTGCATTGACACATAGTTTGAGTCAGTGTGGCTGAAGCATGAAAGTAGGGATATTGTATAAGGACTCGTTTTGAGTATTATACAGATTCAATCAAGCCAACACAAAATTAGGTCAATTAAAGCAGAATGCAGAATATTTGTGATTTCGTAACTGTAGTATCAAACAAAAAAAATTAGTTAGTCCGAGTCCCGCAGTGGCTTTCGTTGGCACTGCTCTGGAAACATCAAACACCCCTTTCTCCAACAGAGTGAGTCCGCACCAGTAACCCATACACTCCAGTTGAAGGAAGTGTTACTTAGGAACATTTTATATGCCTTGATTGCTAGCGGAAAGGTAAGATAGTGATTGAATCTATTATTTCACTTGCGTTGAAACAGTGGGAGCGAGTTGCATGAGATTAATCACCAGATTTCGGGCTCGGTTGCTGTGTTAACGTTCTCCTACTAGTAATGCAGTTGCAAGACAAGGTAATGTGCCCCAGTATTTGTAGCAAACCACATGCCTCCCATAAAAACCATATTTGTTACTTTAGCTTGTAATATACAGTGTACTTCAGAACTTCGAACAGCGTGCATAGGCAAAAAAAGTGGCAGCATATCCACGGAGTGAATGATGGAGAGTGGGGCGAAGCATTCGTCCGTCCGTTTGTTCTTGCTTCCGTTCGTCCATGCATCCATTTGTGTTACCGTCCATGCGTCCATCCGCCCGTCCGTGCGTGCGTCTGTTCATGCATCTGCCCCTGCGTTCGTCCATGCATCTGCCCCTGCGTCCGTTCATGCATCCATCCATGCATCTGTCTATGTGTCCGTTCGCCGATCTATTCAACACTCCAAGCACCACCATCTCGCATCTTTTCACACATATTCCCCATATAGAAGCACCACCATCCAGCGGACATCCCAAGGACTAAACGAGAGGTGGCACACGCACACTTTCTTACGGCTTGCGCTTCGGGTCTACTTCTCACCTTTAACCACCTCGAGTTCATGGTATATGCTCGTTCATTGGATTCATGGCTCTGCGGCTCAACGCTCGCTAAACCTTCTAAAACCAAGAAGGTTACACCCAGCGAGTATAACGTAGCAACCCTTTCTTGTCAGACAGTGCTCAATGTACATGCCAATGGCTGCTAATGCGGATCGCAGCGTGCGCGTTAACTAAAAGCCGAATGCTCCTGTCTCTCATTCCTCATTAGCAGCCATTGACATGTACATTGAGCACTATTTTTTATTGTTCAACAGCGCACAGAAGAAATCTCTCACCGGCACCACGTTTGAGGTCAAAATGTTATACTTGTTACACACTACAAAGGCTATGAGGGACGAACGGGTGCCGCTATAAGGAGCTTCGCCCCTAAAATCAGATATATGCATGAAAGAACAACGGAGGCCGTATCATAACCAATATGAATAGGATAATTGAGGGGGCGTAGGAGTTCTAATGAGACCTGTACAAAAGCCGAAACAACCAGGATGATGGAGTAAAAAGTAATGATAGCCCAGAGTAATTTGACATTCTACCAGTAACGACAGGGGAAGCAGTGAAAGCCCTAGAAAAAATGCCGAGAAGAAATGCAAGTCACTGGTGAGGATGAGGTACCAAAAAAAAAAAAAACCTGCTTAAATATGACGGAGAAATTGTGTTACAAAAACTGGCCAGCTTATATACGAAGTATCTCTGAACAGGAAGCGCACCAGATTCTTGGTAGAAGGCCAAGATAATTTAATTCTATAAAAAGGAAATGTCAAGGACTTAAAATTACAGGCTGATGAGCTTACTGTGCGTTCTCAACAAACCATTTACAAAAATAATACCTAACAGAATCAAGGCGACATTAGAGTTCAATCAACTAAAGAACCAAGCAGAATTTCGTATATGCTGCTCCACAATATACCATTCTCTTACTAAAAGTCTGATAATAGAGAAATTAGCGGAGTACAACCAGCCCCTATACATAGCCATCATAGATTACGAGAAGGTGTATGACTCAGTCGAGACATCAGCAGTAATGCAGGCACTACGGAATCAGGGACATCGAAGAACCCTACATAAATATACTGGAATACATCTACAGTGAATCCACAGCCACCATAGTTCTTCATGAAGAAAGCGACAGAATCCCAGTAAAGAAGGGTGTAAGACTGGGAGATACGATCTCTACACTGCTACTTACCGCGTGTTTACAGGAGGTTTTCCGGACCCTAGATTGGGGAAAGTTAGGAATAAGAGTTAGGGGAGAGTATCTTAGTAACATGCGATTTTCCGATGACATTGCCTTGATGAGTAACTCAGGGGTCAAATTACAGTTCATGAATACAGAATTAGACACGGAAAACAGAAATGTATGTTTGAAAATAAATAAGCACAAAACATGAGTAATGTGCACCAGTCTTGGCAGAAAACAGCACTATGCGATAGGTGGAGAGACGCTGGAAGTTGTAAAGAAACATGTTTTCCTAGGACAGGTAGTAACAGTGGAACCGAACCATGAGAGTGGAAGAACTAGAAAAATAAGGACGAGGGGGATCACATGCAGCAAGCATTCTCGAATCATGAATGGTAATCTTCCACTAACCCACAGGAGGCGCGAGAACATACCGTGGCGCCACCACCGGGGCCTGCCTGGGCGCCAAGGATGGAATCCCTCGCAGAACAATTTTTCTTAGTGGTGACGTTCCGATGCTACGACTATTCAAAAATACGTGTATTCATGATGATGCCACCGCCTTTATTATTGTTTTCCAAAATGCTAAAGAATGCTTTTACTCTCTACGCAGGAATATGGCAAATGCTACCAAGAGGGCACTTGTTAGAACGTCCACCTTTCTGCTTTTGTTAGCTCATGCTCTTGGTGAAGTGAGCCACCGGTTTGACGACAACGTCCTCGATACTTTCGACGTAGGCAAACTCTTCTCTATTCATGCTTTGTGCAGGCGGAGTTGCGGGATGATTTTGTGGCCGAGTACTGGGTTACCCATATTACCAGCTTTGAGCAGCTCATGCTCTTTGAGAACCAGGAGCGAAAGAGGAGCATGCGGAGGCTCGTGTGATCAAGCGCACTTCTCTGATGTTCAATGCTGATTTAGCTTGTCAGGCTCATGCGCTTGATTGTATACGTAACACTAAATTTCATTGCTTAAGCATTACAAACTCCAACATTAAATATGTGATTGCGCGTGGTGTCTTTCCAACATAGCAGTACCTGCTACGTTGGAAAATAGCACAGACATTACCGCAGAGCAAATATGGAGGCAAGTGACGAAAAAGTATTGGAATTAGGAGGACAATTTTCAGTTGTCACATCATTAGAAGGGAGCATTTCTAATACAGATCTTCACTGCCAAATAAAATCAGTGGTTTCCATTTAGGAGCCGTGAACTAAGGGCTCCACCAAACAGAAACAAATGTCTCCACGAAAGCAGTAATAATGCTTATACTTGTTAATTATCCTTGAAATCGATAGTGTTCAGGAACGCCTAACACATATTTATTTCGACATGGCAAATTAGTGCTGTGTTATTGAAATTCGATGCTGTAAGTGGATGTTTTCTTTAATTTGCGAAGGAAGCCTAATATTTCCACTCTGCAGCGGCTGTTGCATTCGCATTGCGATTACTTATAGCTTTCGCTAACAGCAAACATTCATTTAAAACGAGAAGTATTTGCGCTTGTTGTGCTTATAAAGAAGAAGTCGCTTCTTAGTGCTTTCCGAAAAAGAAAACAAGCAAGAACATTAATAATGAGAAAAAGACACAATCAATGGTGACAGAGACACGCAAGTGGTGTACATTTTTGTGTCCGCGTGTTTTTTTGCTTCTCGCTTGCATGTGCCCTTTCTTCATTCTTAATTTTTTTCAAGAATGATTAGTTTGTTATGCGTCGCAAAATGAATATGTAACGCCTGAAAAAAAAAACAGAAAGCTAACTCTTTTTGAACGAGACCAGAATAGCTATGTTTTTATGCGGCGTTTATGAAATTACGTATAACTGGTAGACGCATATGAGAGAAAGCGAGAAATGGGGAGATAGAAAATAGAAAAAAAAAACAAGACTTCATTTCTTTGACAATGAAACCACTTCCGGAGGTTTGTCGCCACTATGAAGCGCTTTTATTACAGCGAAAGGCGAAACCGTATCAGATCAGAGCTCTTTTGCCAAAAGCATGATTCGACATTCATGAATATGTTTTTTTCCTTACTTGCACTATCATTGCTCTTCATTTTTTGAAAAAGTCCGTTGCAGAGGTGTGTAGTAGACAGAACATTATATAAATGGTACGGATGGCATCTGAAAAATGTCTGACTTCTTCTATACCCCATTTTAGTGAAGGCTATCTGGGTGCCGCCATAAGCCCCTCTGGGCTGTTGCTAACATTCGTTACCCCCCGAAAAATGCAAGGCTGAAGCTGTGACGTCAGCTTTTGTGCTACCGCGCAATAATCCAGAAAGGAGAGGATCCTTCTCTTCGTGAAAAAGGTCTACAATGTGCATTTCATATTGCAGATATTGCGATTTTTCGACCGTGGCGTAGCCATATACGACGTGGACGGTGATGGAGACCTCGACTGCGTTACTGCTGTTCGAACCGAATTTATTGAGGAACCCCTAGGAGCAACATATGTTCTGCTCTTCAAAGGCCTTGGCGGGAACCAACCGTAAGCTTAAACGATATAATGTAATGAACAATATGCATAAGTGGTACTTGCAGAAAAAAAAGCCAGTTTCCCCGCATAACGCCTATACTTGACAGCGATTCAGAATGACCACGTCAGGAACACAGTGCCACCAATCAGGACACATCTGAGTATAGGATGAAGCTATGTGGACGTGTTTTCTTGAATTTCTTGACACAGTATCTCACAGGATATTTTGTACAAGCGCCTAAGATTGTTCAAACGCGATCGCGAGAGCCACATTCTTTTTCCTCCGGCCATATATCAATCCAGGACTCAGCTCACTTCTGAAAGCTTTTTAAGCCTAACGTGTTTGTGTACAGACTCCAGGATCGTAGGCATTACAAGTTTTTTCATCTTCAGATTTTTTGCACAAGCTACAAGACCAGCCTATCCATGATCAAACAACGTCACGCGATGGCCTCGACATGTATGTGACGTCTTGTTTTGAAGTTACGATGGCGTCATAACATCATGTTATGTAAACGTGATATGATTTTTAGAACAATGACCGTACGCACGCACTTACGAACACGCACACAGACACATTACCTTGAGCATGACATGTCTATTAACTGATCATAATTACTTACTCATTGATTTATAAGTGTTGACGCCAATGCTGGCCTGGCGAAGTATTGTCACGTCCCTCCAAATCTCGAAGTTACCGACGTTAAATTTTCGTGTTTGGTGAAGGATTTAAATAACTAGTGGAGGTGAGATAATTTTGAGCATGGCGTTCATGTGCTTCACAACGATGTTGCAGTCCACATAGTGAGTGCTGTGAAAGCCCTAGAAAAAATGCCGAGAAGAAATGCAAGTCACTGGTGAGGATGAGGTACCAAAAAAAAAAAAAACCTGCTTAAATATGACGGAGAAATTGTGTTACAAAAACTGGCCAGCTTATATACGAAGTATCTCTGAACAGGAAGCGCACCAGATTCTTGGTAGAAGGCCAAGATAATTTAATTCTATAAAAAGGAAATGTCAAGGACTTAAAATTACAGGCTGATGAGCTTACTGTGCGTTCTCAACAAACCATTTACAAAAATAATACCTAACAGAATCAAGGCGACATTAGAGTTCAATCAACTAAAGAACCAAGCAGAATTTCGTATATGCTGCTCCACAATATACCATTCTCTTACTAAAAGTCTGATAATAGAGAAATGAGCGGAGTACAACCAGCCCCTATACATAGCCATCATAGATTACGAGAAGGTGTATGACTCAGTCGAGACATCAGCAGTAATGCAGGCACTACGGAATCAGGGACATCGAAGAACCCTACATAAATATACTGGAATACATCTACAGTGAATCCACAGCCACCATAGTTCTTCATGAAGAAAGCGACAGAATCCCAGTAAAGAAGGGTGTAAGACTGGGAGATACGATCTCTACACTGCTACTTACCGCGTGTTTACAGGAGGTTTTCCGGACCCTAGATTGGGGAAAGTTAGGAATAAGAGTTAGGGGAGAGTATCTTAGTAACATGCGATTTTCCGATGACATTGCCTTGATGAGTAACTCAGGGGTCAAATTACAGTTCATGAATACAGAATTAGACACGGAAAACAGAAATGTATGTTTGAAAATAAATAAGCACAAAACATGAGTAATGTGCACCAGTCTTGGCAGAAAACAGCACTATGCGATAGGTGGAGAGACGCTGGAAGTTGTAAAGAAACATGTTTTCCTAGGACAGGTAGTAACAGTGGAACCGAACCATGAGAGTGGAAGAACTAGAAAAATAAGGACGAGGGGGATCACATGCAGCAAGCATTCTCGAATCATGAATGGTAATCTTCCACTAACCCACAGGAGGCGCGAGAACATACCGTGGCGCCACCACCGGGCCTGCCTGGGCGCCAAGGATGGAATCCCTCGCAGAACAATTTTTCTTAGTGGTGACGTTCCGATGCTACGACTATTCAAAAATACGTGTATTCATGATGATGCCACCGCCTTTATTATTGTTTTCCAAAATGCTAAAGAATGCTTTTACTCTCTACGCAGGAATATGGCAAATGCTACCAAGAGGGCACTTGTTAGAACGTCCACCTTTCTGCTTTTGTTAGCTCATGCTCTTGGTGAAGTGAGCCACCGGTTTGACGACAACGTCCTCGATACTTTCGACGTAGGCAAACTCTTCTCTATTCATGCTTTGTGCAGGCGGAGTTGCGGGATGATTTTGTGGCCGAGTACTGGGTTACCCATATTACCAGCTTTGAGCAGCTCATGCTCTTTGAGAACCAGGAGCGAAAGAGGAGCATGCGGAGGCTCGTGTGATCAAGCGCACTTCTCTGATGTTCAATGCTGATTTAGCTTGTCAGGCTCATGCGCTTGATTGTATACGTAACACTAAATTTCATTGCTTAAGCATTACAAACTCCAACATTAAATATGTGATTGCGCGTGGTGTCTTTCCAACATAGCAGTACCTGCTACGTTGGAAAATAGCACAGACATTACCGCAGAGCAAATATGGAGGCAAGTGACGAAAAAGTATTGGAATTAGGAGGACAATTTTCAGTTGTCACATCATTAGAAGGGAGCATTTCTAATACAGATCTTCACTGCCAAATAAAATCAGTGGTTTCCATTTAGGAGCCGTGAACTAAGGGCTCCACCAAACAGAAACAAATGTCTCCACGAAAGCAGTAATAATGCTTATACTTGTTAATTATCCTTGAAATCGATAGTGTTCAGGAACGCCTAACACATATTTATTTCGACATGGCAAATTAGTGCTGTGTTATTGAAATTCGATGCTGTAAGTGGATGTTTTCTTTAATTTGCGAAGGAAGCCTAATATTTCCACTCTGCAGCGGCTGTTGCATTCGCATTGCGATTACTTATAGCTTTCGCTAACAGCAAACATTCATTTAAAACGAGAAGTATTTGCGCTTGTTGTGCTTATAAAGAAGAAGTCGCTTCTTAGTGCTTTCCGAAAAAGAAAACAAGCAAGAACATTAATAATGAGAAAAAGACACAATCAATGGTGACAGAGACACGCAAGTGGTGTACATTTTTGTGTCCGCGTGTTTTTTTGCTTCTCGCTTGCATGTGCCCTTTCTTCATTCTTAATTTTTTTCAAGAATGATTAGTTTGTTATGCGTCGCAAAATGAATATGTAACGCCTGAAAAAAAAAACAGAAAGCTAACTCTTTTTGAACGAGACCAGAATAGCTATGTTTTTATGCGGCGTTTATGAAATTACGTATAACTGGTAGACGCATATGAGAGAAAGCGAGAAATGGGGAGATAGAAAATAGAAAAAAAAAACAAGACTTCATTTCTTTGACAATGAAACCACTTCCGGAGGTTTGTCGCCACTATGAAGCGCTTTTATTACAGCGAAAGGCGAAACCGTATCAGATCAGAGCTCTTTTGCCAAAAGCATGAATTCGACATTCATGAATATGTTTTTTTCCTTACTTGCACTATCATTGCTCTTCATTTTTTGAAAAAGTCCGTTGCAGAGGTGTGTAGTAGACAGAACATTATATAAATGGTACGGATGGCATCTGAAAAATGTCTGACTTCTTCTATACCCCATTTTAGTGAAGGCTATCTGGGTGCCGCCATAAGCCCCTCTGGGCTGTTGCTAACATTCGTTACCCCCCGAAAATGCAAGGCTGAAGCTGTGACGTCAGCTTTTGTGCTACCGCGCAATAATCCAGAAAGGAGAGGATCCTTCTCTTCGTGAAAAAGGTCTACAATGTGCATTTCATATTGCAGATATTGCGATTTTTCGACCGTGGCGTAGCCATATACGACGTGGACGGTGATGGAGACCTCGACTGCGTTACTGCTGTTCGAACCGAATTTATTGAGGAACCCCTAGGAGCAACATATGTTCTGCTCTTCAAAGGCCTTGGCGGGAACCAACCGTAAGCTTAAACGATATAATGTAATGAACAATATGCATAAGTGGTACTTGCAGAAAAAAAGCCAGTTTCCCGCATAACGCCTATACTTGACAGCGATTTCAGAATGACCACGTCAGGAACACAGTGCCACCAATCAGGACACATCTGAGTATAGGATGAAGCTATGTGGACGTGTTTTCTTGAATTTCTTGACACAGTATCTCACAGGATATTTTGTACAAGCGCCTAAGATTGTTCAAACGCGATCGCGAGAGCCACATTCTTTTTCCTCCGGCCATATATCAATCCAGGACTCAGCTCACTTCTGAAAGCTTTTTAAGCCTAACGTGTTTGTGTACAGACTCCAGGATCGTAGGCATTACAAGTTTTTTCATCTTCAGATTTTTTTGCACAAGCTACAAGACCAGCCTATCCATGATCAAACAACGTCACGCGATGGCCTCGACATGTATGTGACGTCTTGTTTTGAAGTTACGATGGCGTCATAACATCATGTTATGTAAACGTGATATGATTTTTAGAACAATGACCGTACGCACGCACTTACGAACACGCACACAGACACATTACCTTGAGCATGACATGTCTATTAACTGATCATAATTACTTACTCATTGATTTATAAGTGTTGACGCCAATGCTGGCCTGGCGAAGTATTGTCACGTCCCTCCAAATCTCGAAGTTACCGACGTTAAATTTTCGTGTTTGGTGAAGGATTTAAATAACTAGTGGAGGTGAGATAATTTTGAGCATGGCGTTCATGTGCTTCACAACGATGTTGCAGTCCACATAGTGAGTGCTGTGATGGGTACAGCGAAAAAGATTGGCTTCGAGGAAGTGAATTTTTCTTCTGTCAGCCTATGGGCCTATTGGCCAGTCAGTTCTCTTTTTTTCTAAATCCAAAGAAACTAATAGAAGAAGAAAAAAGGCCCCATATCTGCACGTTACACTGCAAATGTCGTCGAAAGACGATAATCTTGCGTCTGGAGAGAGCGAACAAAACGTTGATGTGATGTTCTGCGCAAGGAAATCGGTGAAAGGTATTCTGGAGGCGCTACGTCAGAGTGTCTCCAGCGTGCAGCGGAAGCAAACGAGCGCATCGAGTCAAGTTACACGTGAGACATGAGCGCTATCTGGAAGTTCTCTTGGAAAACGAAGTGCGAGGCGTGCGCGCTCGTCTTGGAGGCGATAAGGTGCGCAAGGCGACGGGTAGGTGCCGCAACCGGGTCGTCTTTGCTAAAGCCCCTAAACCTTCATAAAGTAGCCACGTGCGTAGTTATTCGCACGCCTCCTCTCTTTTCGCCATCCTCCCACTACTCCGAGATCGGCATCGCGTCGGTATTGGCCAGGTGCCATCACGCGAGATCGCTCGCAGTGTTCGTTTGTTTACAATCGCTCGCGACGGCCATATTTGCTCTGAAGGCGCGGACTCCTCGGGGCGCAGCACATCTGTTTTGACGGATACGAACTTGTATTTTGGTGCGTGCTGTGCTGTGAAATACTTTACACCCAAGAGTAACGTCGCGGTTCATTGCCGTGAGTAGTTGTTGCGTCTTCTGCTACATGTCACAGTTAATTGTGGAGGAAGTCGCGATCTATCACTTGGGTTTCATTAACGCTTCTGAGGAGGCTGTTTTTTTTTGTCCACAATAGATGCTTACGTTTTCTGCTTGTCGTTACACGCCGACTGGTTTGAATTCGTGGTAATGCTTTATGCGCTTTGAATGTACGCGGAAAAACGTTCGAAATTGTGATTATGGAATATCAGAGATTTCGCGTTGCTGCTTTCAATAAACAAAACTGAAGTGCAGCAGGTACTTTCCATTATATTGTGTTGCGTGTTCGTATACTTCAGAGCAAATTGCTCTCTGTGGCTCTTTTTCATTGACCGATCAGCGAGGAGATTCAAGATGACAGGGCACGCAGCTATGCAAAGTGTGCATGCCTTCGAGTCATTGGGCGCGTGTATCGTTTAGGAACCTTAATCATACGTGTCATTTCGTGTGATAGCTTATCTGCTATTTTGTGTGAAAGTTTATATCCGCGAGTGGAGCTCTCGCGAAGTAATCGCGTACGGTGGCACGCTAGTTCATTCATACGCTACCTCATTATTTAGGCGATATAGTTCGTATGTAAGATACGTCCACAAGGCGCACTTCTGAAATAGAATTGGTGCGTCTAACCACTTCACGAAACAACAACAGCTGTTCGAATGCATCAACTTTGCGCCTTCTGACACATTATTAAGCCTTTAGATGCCTCACCAAAGGCGAAAATTGGCCGTCAAGGATATCGCCGTCCCGCGTCGACAGCGTCAACGCGAGTTGTTGCTTTCATTGGATGACAGTGCCTGTGAATGCTCTTTGCACATATTGTGTACCCTATACACGGTGAAGCTTGCACCACCAGTGCGCTGAGTAAGGAAGGACAGTCTCACTGTCCCTTCGTGCGCTATCGCGCCAGCTAACAGAAAGGTTAGCCATAGGAGCCGCACATGAACGTTTGAGCTATGTTATTTACAGTGTAAAGCTTATTTGGAGAAGTGCTAAATGACGGGCCAAGAAAAACAGTTGTTTTCACTAATGATCACAATCTTACGTATAAGAATATACTAAAGAGTGATGCGCACAAAGATAACAGCCGGTCACTGCGATGCAGAGTGACTCGATCAAGGCCTGATCACAAGTACGCGTTGCGCGTGGCACTAAACAGAGCTGATATGGGATAACGGCTAATGCTACGCTCATTAAGATAATTTTAGGATGAGTTAGACGACCAGCGTGAACGCTCTCAGCGCGCTGTCGGCCCGGGAAGCGCTATCTTCACGAAAGGGCGCCTGCTACGCAGGAGCAATGCAGGTGGCGCCACGTTCGAAATGCGAGAGCGGAGGAGAGGAGACCAAGGAGAAATGCGAGCGGAGGAGGAGAGTGTCACTACTTTACGAAGGTTTAGGGGCTTTAGTCTTAGCAAAGCGTTAAAAACACTTGTCTTTTCGTGCAAGTGTTTCAGCGCAGCGCAGCATGATAAACGCTATGGTCCTTAGAATTCCTTACGTATGCCTTTTCTAGTATAAAAGCACACATATATAATGTTGACGTGTTGTTATGGTGCATCACATATTCCCAATAATCGCTTTTTAATTGAAAATCGCACAGGTATGAACGCTAAAACTTGAGCAATATTGGTGGGCACTGCGGATGGGGTCCGCGGTTTGGGGTATTGTTTTGTGTCGTTTGGGGTACCGTAACGGGTGCAGTCAGAAAAACAGACAAGTAGACAGACAGACAAGAATTTTTGCGTCGGAGGTCTCTAAGAAAGGCTATCGTCTTTAAAAAAAACTCCCAAGCATTTCCCCGAGGGTGAACATGGTTAAGTGCGAATGCACGGGGTGATGCTATGAGGGGGAGTAAAGTTAAAATCCGTCGTCTTGACGCCGGCCTTCATCGCCCTTCTCCGCCTGACGCTTGCGTTGTCGTTCCGCTTCTTGGGCCGCGTTCGCGGCTCGATGCTGACGCCTCATCTCGGCCTCGCGAGCGCGCAGTTCACCATCCGCTGCACGCTTCGCCCGCTTGTCCTCGGCCTCGCGAGCGCGAAGTTCGGCATCCTCTGCACGCTTCGCCCGCTTGTCCTCGGCCTCGCGAGCGCGCTGTTCGGCATCCGCTGCACGCTTCGCCCGCTTGCACTCGGCCTCGCGAGCACGCAGTTCGGCATCCGCTGCACGCTTCGCCCGCTTACGTTCGGTCTCACGAGCCCTTCGCAGTGCCGCCTTGTCTTCCAACGTCGGCGAAACCACCGCGGTACCGTCACCTCCAACGACGGGTGCAGTGCTGGCATTCGGTTGTACTGCATTCGTTGTTGATGGTAGCGTTGCCTCCGGGACATCCATCGCACGACCCGCTCTCGACGGGAGACTGAGAGAGAAGGCGGGCGCGCGAGAGAGAGGGGCGCGCGCGCAGCTGCAGCGAGCGAGGAGAGCGGAGGAGCGAGCGAAGGGGGAGGGGGACGCGCGCAGCGGCATTAAAGATATAAGGCGCGTTACTGACACCGATATCAGCGTCGCGTCCGTGGCTTATTCGGTAGAGCGTCGCGCTGCGGCCCACCAAGTCCTCTTTCTTTTAAAGATAGAGAGAAGACTGCGGACGCCGCCGACGGCGGTGGATGGTTTGGGGTCGCTTATAAAGTGTATTCACACTTAATAGAGAGAAGACTGCGGACGCCGCCGACGGCGGTGGATGGTTTGGGGTCGCTTATAAAGTGTATTCACACTTAAAATTGGGGGACCGATAGCGAAACGCGGCTAGCCTTCTAGTGCGTTGAGATGGGATTTCCTTGAAGGGGCATAAAGAGTCTCACAATGTCTCACAGATGGCAGCATAATTTCTAGCGTTTGTTATTTGCTTGATCAACGCCTCTGGAAAGGCATGATATGTTTTCCGCTAGATAGACATAGTTGTCCATATTTCGAGCTGTTTGGAAGTTGCCGTGTGTTTTTGGCGGTGATGGCTGCACTATCTGGGCCTTTTTGACGTAGTTTCATGGCCTCCCAAATGCGCCAACAAATTGCCGATTGGGCTCGTTTTTGTTGTGACACCTGTCGAACAAAATGCGTTAAGGAGACTCCTTCCCATACATGGCATTTATGTAGTGTTTTTTTTCCTGAAGCAGCTGCATGTAACATTGTGGCTTTGTGGTGGAACACTTACTTGCCACGCGAACGGCCCGGGTTTGATCCTCAATAGGACCGAAAATTTTGTTCTTTATTTTATAGCTTCTTTTTCGATTTTTCGCGCACGGACGAATTTCCACTCACAACCAACAGTTTCGACGCCGATGGCGGAATTATGGCTATACGAGCTCTCTAACGGTGTCGCGTTAAAATGGTGCTGCACACAATGAGGCAAAGAATGTATGCCCATGGACATTCTGAAGACAATAGCTTACAATTTTTCCTTTAGAAGCCCGTCAATGGCTCAAAATTGTGTTCAATCGAACGCGTCATCCTACTTAAAAGTGACAAAGTTGTTTAATTTTTACAGCCATTATAATTGAACTGGAGATGAAAGCGGCCTAGTTGGTACACAACTAAAAAGTAAAAAAAGAGCAGCGCGAATGCAGGACCAAGATCTGTTACACGAGGATGGGCACTGACATCTATCTAAAATTCCTTCCTTTATACTTCTTGCATTTTTGCCTGTATACTTGATTTCTTCAAGAAGAATTTCAGTTGACAGTCTTCTATCTTTCTTTGTCTTGCGTTCCAATTGTTTTTTTTACTATTTAGTCAGAATATTTTGGTGATACCAAAACCTTCAAAAATTAGACGTGTGTTTTCGCGATAGACAAGCACCCATAAGTCGACGTAAGTGTTAACAAGTTTCTTGCTCCATAAAATAACAAGAGTTGATCTGCATAAAAATTTGAAGATTCATGAAATATACGTGCAAAACACAGTGAACAACTGCCCACGGTCACGAAATGCCTGCATCGCCACCACATTATGGCACTCGCAATAATCAACAAGCGTTAGAGGTGTTAAGATTCCTTAGAACTAATGGGTATTAAAATTTGTTAGCTCACCGAGCTCAGACAAATTACGTTTTGTGCGTTTAAAGTCCCACTAATTTCACTAATTTTAGACTTGCTGAACACCAGCATGTCGCTAAGAAAAGAATGCATGATCAAAGTTTGGAAACGTGTGGAACAATCTCGTTTAATTTCGAGTCAGCGGATACTCACTTCACATCTATTGAGCTTGCGCGCCGCGTTTAGTTTACATGCATAATTTATTGTTACATTTTCGCATAATGTACACCCTGGAATCTGCTAATAATAAAATATTTTGTGATTATTTCAGACGCAACATAACAATTCACGCCACACCAGGACCGACACCTGAGACAGATCGCTTTAAGATTGATGATGGTAAGTATTGCATTCTTAGAATTGTAAAGCCCTTCATGTAGCTTCCTCTCAATAAGTGCTGTTGTATCTATTTAGTGGTAGAATTTCATTTACAAAAACTGCAGAAGGGAATACTGGCATTACATTTTTTCACACCGGAAAGTATAACAGATGCAGAAATGTTAAAATTTTTATGTACTAAGTAGAAGGGACGATCCCAAAGCGATTGTCAATTTTACAAATAATCGTTACTGTAAGGCCAATACTAGTAGTTAGCAAGTAAACAATAAACACGCCAATATATTTCCAATGGTCGTACATGTAAATGAAAGGCACTTTTCAGGGCATACGTGGTCTTTGGCGCTTTCTTGCACACGTTGCTTTAAGCGTTGCCCAAGCAACGTCAGAAATTCTATTAAAAAAGTAAAAAAATCACCGCAAATATAATTCCGCATTTGTGGTAGTGAATTTTGGTACAATTCGGGTTGTCAAAAATGCAACATGGCCACTCACCAAGCTGTATAGAAGCTGTCGCAGTCAAAATGCCAGTCAATTTTTTTTAATTCTTCAGCAGTATTCGGTGCGTTCATCAGTAGTCTGCCGAAGAGCTGATGCTTTGCACCCCACACGAGGACGCTAACGTTCTCCTGTTTGGACACACCAGGATCGTCATAGATGGATACCCATGTCATCTTCTCTGTTAAGAGTACGATGTTTCTCTTTGGAAGCTTCAAGCTTGTGTTCAGTAAAGTTTCAGCCCTCTCATAGTCGACGACGCTCGTGAAAGTGCTGAGAACATTGCACAATTAATGTGCGATGGTGTCGCGGTTCACCCTATTCTCATACCATGTTCTTTCAATGCGTTTTCCAAGGTGAAATGGGCACCGCGCTGCTTGTCTTTACTGTTCCAATTATTGAAAAATGGCGTTGAATGAAGGTGGCTTGGCAAGTAGAGTAGAGAAAAACAAAAGGACGAGAACCGGCGCATTCAGCATGCTATATGGTTGATGGTAAAACAAAGAGTATAATGACTCAGACAGATAAAAAAACACGTCTATGTTGGGAAAACGTCCGCTTCTGCACACCAGGCGTGAGCTCTCCACTCGTGCAAACGCTTTGTTCTCTTCTCTCTTCTATATATATTCAGCAAATGACAGCCCTTTTTTTGTGTGCAAGGAATGATGTGCGAAAATATGACGGCCTTTTAGCTTGCCGAACAATGATCCATCCATAGGGATTTGCAGCGTTGCAACTGTATTGGTCAACCGGCTTGGACAATCTCAAGAATAACACAGAGGTGTCATCTTTGTCATCTCTGCAAGGCTCCCGTACTCCAGCGGCAATTCATAATGATGATGATGATGATGATGCTTGTTACTCTGGCGCACACCCACAAAGGGGGATCAGCCAAGAACCAGGCGGCAGGATCCCGGTGGCCTGTAGCTAGCTCGAGTAGGGATGTCTTTTGTGTCTTCTTCTTCAAGGCGTCAGATTTCCGATTGTTTAATGGCCTTCTGATAATATCGGGTAATACATGAAGACAGTTCCCTCAACCAAAAGTGAAGTGGTTGCGACATCCATGAAAACTCGCAAGCAGCCGAGATGAATGCTTGTGAGCAGTGACTGGATGATCATGTATTGCACTTCCTGAATGCACGTAAACTCAAAAAAAAAAACACGACAGTTGTGAGTCATCTGTGTATTGTTAGACAATAAACCTCGCGTACTTATGAATAAACATATAAAGACAAATTTGGATACTAGACTCACAGTTCTGACAGACGCGGGAGCGGATGCCCCGCAAGCAGCTCAATCACTTCTTACGACCAGGCGACCCACCTGAAGCGCGGGGCTTTCGGGGCCGCATCGAAATCCGCAGGGGACTTCTGTCTGTGCTGGGGGCTTCCGAGTCGCTGCTGGATATTTGGTGGCGCTTTGTTCCGAGCCTCTTGAGTGAAGATGGCACAAATTCGTCAAAACTGTACCGACTGATCTTGCTTGGAGTGCTGTCGGTGTCTATCTGCAGGGCCGTGTCGCTCCTAGTACTGCTCGTGTCCTCGTTGATGGAAACCTCGTCACCTTGGGACAAAGTATCTTCAATTATAGCAGGACTAACAGACGACTGGGCAGCCATGGGGTGAGCAACAGATATCACGTCAGCATCTGCGACGCGTTCGACGAGTGGCGCCTCCTCTGGTTTGATGGGCTCGACCTGCTGGTTTCTGTGGGAACCCCCACTGGTCGCGGGGCCCGCTAGATGGATTCATCCGCACCTTGAGGGCTGCCCCTGGTCGGGGGCTGGCTCTGGAGGCCGCTGTGGGCGTTTGGGTGGGTGGCCCCAGTCTGGTTGTCGGCATTGTGAATGCACCCAACTCGTCCTGGCAAATATCCGGGCCTGGCGTCAATGATACGACGTTTTAATTCTTGCCTGATTGAAGTGGCGAGTAATTCTTGAAGGCCGCCTCGGAATACGACGGCCTGATGGTGCAGGTGATAGTGGCATGCGGGTCACCACAACGGCGACATGGCAGCGAGCAGCCCTTCCCGTCGTAGCCGTAAACGCCGCACCTTTCACAAAACGGAGCTGTGCAATTCATGCAGAAGTGCCCGCTGTCTCCACATCGACGGCACACTCGCTGGATCCCTTTATAGTCACAGGTCACTCGATGGCCAGCGACCTATTTTACGACCTATTTTACGATGGTTTAGGAGCTTTAGTCTTAGCAACGCGTTGAAAGCACTTGCCTTTTCATGCAAGTGTTTCAGCGCAGCGCAGCGTGATAAACGCTACGCTCCTTAGAATTACTTACGTATGCCTTTTCTAGTATAAAGGCACACATACATAAAATTGACGTGTTGTTATGGTGCATCCGATATTCGCAATAATCACTTTTTAATTGAAACTCACACAGGTATGAACGCTAGAACTTGAGCAATATTGGTGGGCGCTGCAGATGGGGTCCACGGTTTGGGGTATTGTTTTGTGTCGTTTGAGGTACCGTAAAGAGGGGAGTCGAACAAACAGACAAGTAGACAGAAAGACAAGATTTTTGCGTCGAATGTCTCTAAAAAAGACTATCGTCTTTGATAAATTGAGGAACCCTTACGGTTCGCCTTCAAAAGTTGAACGCGATAGCGAAATGCGGCTAGCCTTCTAGTGCGTTGAGATTGCATTTTCTTGAAGGGGCATAAAGAGTGTCACAATGCCTCAAAGATGGCAGCACATTATCTAGCGTTTGCTATTTGCTTGATCAACGCCTCTGGAAAGGCAAGATTGTTTTCCGCTAGATGAACATAGTGCTTAGAAAAAGTGGGTAACGATTTAGAGTACTAGATACTCTTCTATGTCCATATTTCGAGCTGTTTGAAAGTTTCTGTGTGTTTTTGGCGGCGATGGCTGCACTATCCTGGCCTTTTTTGACGTAGTTTGATGGCCTCCCGAATGCGAATACGAATCGCCGATTGGGCTCGTTTTTGTTGTGATACCTGTCGAGCAAACTGCGTCAAGGAGACTTCATCCACTACATGGCTCCGTCTTCTTACTCCATATAGAATTCTTTTTTTGCCTTGTGATAGTTCTGTGCCAAATTCGGATGTTATATTTTTACTTGGTCTTCATTTGGCGTAGTATGCAATCGTACAAACAGTGTGATGTAAGAGTTCTGTCCATTGATAAGTGTTCCGTGGAAGCTGTTATAAAAGTGCAGGATGTGTATAAAACTACCGACTGTGTTGAAGTAGTAATATCTTTGTTTGATGCGTTATCACACATGAAACACCTGCGATGGTGATTGTCAGACTAGCTTGACTTGTAGTCAAGAAGGCAATAAAGAAAAAAAACATTGTGGCTTTGTGGTAGAACGCCTGCTTGCCACGCGAACGACCCGAGTTCGATCCTCAATAGGACCATGAATTTTGTTCTTTATTTTATGGCTTCTTTCTCGATTTTTCGCGCACAGACGAATTTTCACTCCCAACCAACAGTGCCGACGCCGAAGGCGGAATTAAGGCTATACGAGCTCTGTAACGCTGTCGTGCTAAAATGGTGCTGCACACAATGGGGCAAAGAATGTATGCCCATCGACATTCTGAAGACAATAGCTTACAATGTTTCCTTCAGAAGCCCGTAAACAGCTCAAAAGTGTGAAAATTGTGTTCATTCGAACGTGTCATCATACTTAAAAGCGACAAAACTGTTTAATTTCTACAGCCATTAAAATTGAACTGGAGATGAAAGTGGCCTAGTTGGTACACAACTAAAAAGTGAAAAAAAAAGAGCAGGGTGAATACAGGACGAAGAACTGTTACACGAGTACGGGCGCTGACATCCATCTTAAATTCATTCCTTTATACTTCCTGCATTTTTGCATGTATACTTGATTCCTTCAAGAAGAATTTCAGTTGACAGTCTTCCATCTTCCTTTGTCTTGCGTTCCAATTGTTTTTTTTACTTTATAGCAATAATATTTTAGTGATACCAAAACTTTCTAAAATTAGACGTGTGTTTTCGCGGTATACAAGCACCCGTAAGTCGACGTAACTGTTAACAAGTTCCTTGCTCTATAAGATAACAAGAGTTGATCTGCATAAAAATTTTGAAGATTCATAAAATATACGTGCAAAACACAGTGAACAACTGCCCGTGGTCACAAAATGCCTGCCTCGCCACCCCATTATGGCACTCGCAATAATCGACAAGCTCTAGAGGTGTTAAGATTCTTTAGAACTAACGGATGTTAAAATTTGTTAGCTCACCGAGTTCATACAAATTACGTTTTGTGCGTTTAAAATGCCACTAATTTTAGACTTGCTGAATACCAGCATGTTGCTAAGAAAAGGATGCATGATCAAAGTTTGGAAACGTGTGGAACGATCTCGTTTATTTTCGAGTCAGCGGATATTCACTTCACATCTATTGAGCTTGCGCGCCGCGTTTAGTTTACATACACAATTCATTATTACATTTTCTCATAATGTACACCCTGGGCTCTGCTAATAATAAGATATTTTGGGATTATTTCAGACGCAACATAACAATTCACGCCACACCAGGACCAACACCTGACACAGATCGCTTTACGATTGATGATGGTAAATATTGCATTTTTGGAATTGTAAAGCCCTTCGTGTAGCTTCCTCTCAATAAGTGCTATTGTATCTATTTAGTGGTAGAATTTCATTTACAAAAACTGCAGAAGGGAATACTGGCATTACATTTTTAACACTGAAAAATATAACAGATTCAGAAATGTTAAAATTTTTATGTACTAAGTAGAAGTGACGATCACAAAGCTATTGCCAATTTTACAAGTAATCGTTACTGTGAGGTCAATGCTAGTAATTAGCAAGTAAACAATAAACACACCAATATAAGTCCAATGGTTGCACATGTAAATGAAAGGCACTTTTCAGGGCATGCATGGCGTTTGACGCTTTCTTGCACAGGTTGCTTTAAGCGTTGCCCAAGCAAAGTCAGAAATTTTATTTAAAAAAGAAAAAAAAACCTGCAAATATAATTCCGCATTTCTGGTAGAGAATTTTAGTGCAATACAGGTAGTCAAAATTGCAACATGGCCACTCACCAAGCTTTATAGAAGTTGTTGCAGTCAAAATGCTAGTCAATTCTTTTTTTTAATTCTTCAGCGGTATTCTGTGCGTTCATGGATAGCCTTCCGAAGAGCTGATGCTTTGCACCCCGCATGAGGACGCTGGCGTTCTCCTGTTTGGACACACCAGGGTCATCATAAATAAATACCCACGTCATCTTCTCTGTGAAGAGTACGATGTTTGTCTTTGAAAGCTTCAAGCTTGTGTTCAGAAAAGTTTCAGCCCTCTCATAGTTCACGACGCTCGTGAAGGTGCTCAGAACCTTGCACAATTAATGTGCGATGGTGTCGCGGTTGACCCTATTCTCAAGGCGTTCTTTCAAGGCGTTTTCCAAGGTGAAATGGGCACCACGCAGCCTGTATTTACTGCTCCAATTGTTGAAAAATGACGTTGAATGAAGATGGCTTGGCAAGTAGAGAAGAGAACAACAAGAGGACGAGAACCGGCGCATTCAGTATGCTGTGGCCGATGGCAAATCAAAGGGTTTAATGACTCTGACAGATAAAAAGAAACACGTCTATGCTAGGAAAACGTTCGCTTCTGCACACCACTCGTGAGCTCTCCACTCGTGCCAACGCTTCGCCCTCTTCTCACTTCTATACATATTTAGTAAATGACAGCCCTTTTTTGTGTGCAAGGGATGATGCGCGAACATATGAGGACTTTTCAGTTAGCCGAACAATGATTCACCCATAGGGATTTGCAGCGTTGCAGCTGTATTGGTCAAGAAGCTCGCCTTCTCTTGTCATGTCCGCAAGGCTCCCGTACTTCAGAGGCAATTCCTGTGGCTTGTAGCTAGCTCAAGCGGGGATGTTTTTTGTGTCTTTTTCTTCAAGGCGCCCGATTGTTCAAAAGCCTTCTGGTAACATTGGTAATACATGGAGGCAGTTCTCTCAACCAAAGGTGAATGGGTTGAACCATCATGGAAACTCGCAAGCAGCCGAGATGAATGCTTCTGAGCTGTGACTGGATGATCATGCACGGCCATTTTTTGCGCTTCCTGAATACACGTAAACCCACAAACGTGACAGCTGTGAGTCATCTGTGTATTGTTAGACAATAAACCTGGCGTACATACGTATAAACAATCTCAAGAAGAACACAGAGGTGTCATCCAACTTGTGATTCTGAAGCGAGATGGAGTCTGGTAAGTTCCTAGAAGAACAACTGATTGCTTTCCAGTCAGTTCAGTTGGCAGTGTGCTGTATGAATCCACACTAGTCCAAGACAACGACATTCTTGAGTCATATGTGTGTTTACACCAAGTAGAAGTTACGTATATAGGGAGCACCAATCTCAAGAAGAATGCTAAGATGCCACCAAAACTATGACATTGTATTGAGGTGAAATTTAGCGGAAGCCTGTAAAAGAATATTTGAGTGACTTATTGTCAACCCAATGGGCCGATACGAAACAGCTGCTTATGGAGCGGGCAGGCCAAGGGTATCTGCGTTGGTAGATGACAATTATTTGGGAAAATGTACAGTTCGACCCACCTTCGAAAAAAAACCGCTTTGTTGATGAACAGAGTTGGGCAATAAATACGTGATACATCTAGTGCTCTCGAAACTTCACTGCTTATAAAACCATAGAATTCCCACGTCCACGTGGTGTCTCTCTACCTCAGGCAGTACCATTGTAGCACTAACCACATAATACAGTTTTTATGTATGTATAATAACAAATGCAACAGTTTTGTCCACACCTTACGTGCTTCATTCATGATTATGCTCAATTTTTTTTCCGTTGAACGCTTTTTAGATTATGATTTCGTGCAAGAAGGCCAATTTTACTACACAAACTACAAAAACTGTGTCGTGATGGAGCATCCATATGAAGGTGTCCGCGGTAAGAAAAACTGTGCTTTCACTTTTTGCTAAAGTACAAAAAGTTGTTTGCGTGAGTCATTTCTGCGATATGTGGTGAAATAGATTGATATGGATGAGGTAGGGCAAGGTGCTTGTAACAGCAGCAAGGCAGTCGTCAAAATTTTCAGCATCGCAGTCGGTAGTCGCAAGAGGAATCCGGGAGAGGCAGTCTGCGTCAGCGTGACGACGGCCAATCTTGTACGACACCGTAAAGTCGTATTCCTGAAGTCGCAGCGCCCAACGTGCGAAGCGGCCAGAGGGGTCACGCAAACCGACCAGCCAGCATAACGAATGGTGATCGGTAATTATCTTAAATGTCCTCCCGTAAAAATAACAACGAAACTTCTGTACGGCGAAAACAGCTGCCAGACATTCCTGTTCCGTAAGTGTGTAATTGCGTTCAGATTTGCTCAGGCAACGGCTGGCATATGCCACGACATGCTCTGCGCCATTGTGACGTTGTACAAGCACCGCGCCTACACCGATACCACTAGCGTCCGTGTGGACCTCAGTCGGGCAAGATGGATCGAAGTGACGCAACAGTGGTGCTGATGTTAGTACAAACTTAAGTTGTGAGAATGCGGCGTCACACTCTGGTGTCCAGTTGAAGGTTGCATCCTGTCGCAAGATGTTTGTCAGCGGGTACACGATCTCCGCAAATCGTGGAACAAAACGACGAAAATAGGAGCATAGGCCGACAAATGAGCGGAGTTCTTGTGCGGACTGCGGTGTTTAAAAGAGCTCACTGCTTCTATCTTGCGAGGATCGGGTCTGAAGCCATCCTTGTCGACCAAGTGCCCCAGCACGAGAGTTTGACGTTCGCCAAAGGGACATTTTTTAGAATTCAGAACCAGCCCAGCTTTTTTGATGCAGTCGAGAACAAGACTGAGACGGTTGTTATGTTCCTCAAACGTACGGCCAAAGATCACAACATCGTCAAGGTAGCACATGCATATCTCCCATTTTAGACCACGTAATACTGTGTCCATAAATCTTTCAAAGGTGGCTGGAGCATTACAAAGGCCAAAAGGCATGACATTAATTCAAATAAGCCATCCGGAGTTATGAAAGCAGTCTTTTCTTTATCGCCGGGTTCCATAGGTATTTGCCTATAACCTGACCGAAAAGCAAGCGTTGAAAAATAGGAAGCGGCATGCAAGCAATCTATGACGTCATCAATCCGCGGTAAGGGATATACATCTTTCTTCGTCACAGTGTTTAGACGCCTGTAATCTATACGCAGAATCTCCAGGAACCATCCTTTTTCCTGACAAGAATTACCGGGGCTGCCCACGGGCTGGACGACTCTTGCACGACACCTTTGTTCAGCATGTGCTTTACTTGTTCGGCGATAACTTTGCGCTCAGAGGATGACACTCGGTAGGGCTTTTGACGGATGGGTGTGCAGAGCCGGTGTCTATTCTGTGACGAGCGCGGGACGAGGGTAACTGAAGGGTGCATTTCTATGTTTGAAGTCGAAAGCAGCAACATGCAGGGAAAGGACCTGCACCAGCGCTTGCCGTTCCGTCGTACTGAGAGTCTTGCTGATTATAGCGAGCATTAGATCTTCATTATGGCGAATATCACAAGGAGAGGAAGAGGTGGGGAGGTCCGTAGCTATTGATGCTATCGAGGTGCATGAGGCTTCATCAAAGAAAGCTATCTTCATCCCGCGAGGAAGCACAACCGGCGTGGCAGAACAGTTCAGCGCCCACAATGTTGCTACTCCTTTTGTCATGCACACAACAGAACAAGGCACAAGTATGTCCTTCTTAAAACAGTTCTTGTGTAGAAGCCCCACTACGAGGTCAACACAAGCATCATCAACCGCTGTGGAAGATACTCGAACGGGTGTCAGGCACCAAGATGGTGCTATCACTTCATCAATCACACTAAGTGTGTTCCTGCCTTCACCACGGTAGTCTTCTTCGGAAAGCGACGGTAGAAACAAATTGTTTAGTGATATTTCCCCACTACCACAGTCAACGGAAGCACCGCATTGCTCCAGGAAATCGATACCAAGAATGACATCGTGCGAACAACGAGATAGAACCAGAAATTCCGATACAAATACTTTTCCAGCCAATGAAACACTGACAACACATACACCAAGAGGATTAAGCCACTCGCCGCCTACACCACGAAAGGTGATTGTATCGTCCCATGAAAACATAACTTTGCGACCTAAGCGGTTTCTGAACGCGAGGCTCATCACAGACACAGTCGCCCCAGTGTCAACTAACGCCATCGTTGGTATTCCATCAATCAACACATTCACTTTGCTTTTGACCATAACAATAGGCAGAGGTATATCTTGCAAAGACCGTCCTGCGACCTCACCTCCATTGGCCGCGGATGCTAGTTTCCCGGCGGCGGAGAAGAACGACGCAGAGGAGACGGCGAGCGACGAGAACGGTTGGATGGTGGTGTCAAACTCCGCTCGGATGGTACTTAATGGGTTTTCTGGAAGGGGAATAATAAGTGCCTCGTGTAGAAGATATCCCGAGCATAATTCTCAAGGTACGATAGCTTCGCTATCTGACAAGATTCTGTGGCTGAAGTCATAAGCGATTGCTAACAAGTTCAGCCACGTAGTCAAGTGTTTACTACACTAAACCATTAGTCATAATGAAGGGGTCTACTAACACTCTTCAACCTAGATGAACTGAAGGAGGAACGGGTAGATACTTCAAAAAAGACCCTGAACGGAACATGCAATTCAAAGTTGCTCAGAGAAAAAAAAATGGCAGCATATCCACGGAGTGAATGATGGGGAGTGGGGCGAAGCATTCGTCCGTCCATTCGTTCTTGCTTCCGTTCGTTCCTGCGTACGTCTGTGTAACCGTCCATGCGTCCATCCACCCGTCCGTGCGTGCGTCTGTTCGTGCGTCCGTCCCTGCGTTCGTCCATGCATCCGCGCCTGCGTCCGTTCATGCGTCCATCCATGCATCTGTCTGTGTGTCCGTTCGTCCATCTATTCAGCACTCCAAGTACCACTATCTCGCATCTTTTCATCATATATTCTCCATATAGAAGCACCGCCATCCAGCGGACATTTCAAGGACTAAACGGGAGGTGGCACATGCACACTTTCTTACAGCTTGCGCTTCGTGTTTACTTCCCACCTTTAACCACCTCGAGTTCATGGTATATACTAGTTCGCTGTATTCATGGCTATGCGGCCCAACGCTCGCTAAACCTTTCTAAAACCAAGGAGGTTACACCCAGCGAGTATAACGTAGCAACCCTTTCTCGTCAGATCGTGCTCAATGTACATGCCAATAGCTGCTAATGGGGATCGCAGCGTGCGCGTTACCTAAAGGCCGAATGCTCCTGTCTCTCATTCCCCCTTAGCAGCCATTAACATGTGCATTGAGCACTATCTTTTATTGTTCAACAACGCACAGAAGAAATCTCTCACCGGAACCACCTTGGAGGTCAAAATCGTAAGGACCGCTATTTCGGGTATGTGCCACTGGTGGTTACGTACTACGAGGGACGCACAAGCCACGCCATAAGGAGCTTCGCCCCTAAGAATGGCCCCGTTGCTGCATGTTACACTGCAAATGTCGTCGAAAGACGATAGTATTGCGTCTGGGGAGAGTGAACAAAACGTTTACTTGATGTTCTGCGCAAGAAAATCGGTGAATAGTATTCTGAAGGCGTGCGTTAGAGTGCCTGGGGCGTGCAGTAAAGGCGAACGAGCACATCAAGTCCCGTCACATGTGAGATATGAGCGCTATCTGGCAGTTATCCTGCAAAGCGAAGCGCGTGGAGTGCGCGCCTATCTCTGAGGTGATAAGGTGTAGAACGCAAGGAGACGGGTAGGTGCCGCCACCATGTCGTCTTAGCAAAGAGTTGGAAACACTTGCCTTTTCGTACAAGTTTTGCATGGTCAGTGCAACGTGATAAACGTTATGGTCCTTAGAATTACTTATGTATGCCTTTTCTAGTAAGATACACACATACAGAATATTGTCGTGTTGTTATGGTGCCTTATATATGCGCAAAAATTTCTTTTCAATTGATAATTGCACAAGTATGAACGCTGAATATTGAGCAATATTGGTGGGCGCTGTGGATGAGGTCGTCCATTCATGGTATGATTTGGTGCCCTCTAGGGTACCGTTAAAAGTGGACAAACAGACAAATGTACAGACAGACAGACAGACAGACAGACACCAGACAGACAGACAGACAGACAGACAGACAGACAGACAGACAGAAGACAGACAGACAGACAGACAGACAGACAGACAGACAGACAGACAGACAGACAGACAGACAGACAGACCAAAGTTTTTGTGTCGAAGGTCTCCAAGAAAGACCATTGCCTTTACAAAAAAGGTGAATGAAAAGGTAACTTGCCGCTGGCAGGAACCGAACGTGCCACTTTACAATAACACGTCCGATAATTTACCGACTGATCTACAGCCGTGGTCAACCCTAGGTCCCCTTTAGAGGATGTATATGTGCGCCTAAACATGTGAGCGTCAGTTAGCGCCACCAGTTGTCAATATAGAAAGTGTGGAACACTTTTTTCCCGTCTTATTGTCACGTAGCACGTGACATTTTCACTAGCAGGCTGCTGACCAATAATCCCTCACCTACTATCTGGAGGTTTCAAGACTGTCTTAACGAGACTCTTGCTATGAACGAAAGAAAGAAGTTCAAATTTAAGGGCTTGTTTTCTTTGTGAAACAACGTAATAATGAGATATCACAGCCAATGATGCCGAGGAAAGTATAGGGTATAGTATTAATTGTATCTTCAATGTCAATGTAGGGCTCGAAATCGCAAGTGAGAAGTGCGCAGTCGTGGCTTTCACCAGAAAACCAATGTCCGCTTATGGCTTATCAATTAACGGGCAGTTGGTGTCATGCAGCCGGAGTCGCAGGTTCTTGGGAGTCGTAATCGACCGGAACCTGTCTTGGACACACCACGTAAACTACGTGAAAAAGCGGCTGACTGCCATTTGTCACTTATTCAGGTTTCTTGCTGGGAAAAGTTGGGGAACGTCTGTCGAGTCTATGTTACAGCTGTACAAGGTATTATTTACTGGATTCCTGCGGTATAGCCTACGTGTTATATCTAACACGTGCAAAACGAACCTGGGTACAATGCGAAATATTCAAGCCCAAGCGCTTAGGATATGCCTTGGTTTACCCCACTGCGCGTCGACAAATGAAGCAATTGCCATTGCACAGGACTACTCGATCATGACGCAGATCACCATTGAAACGATGCGTACGTACCTCAGGCAACATGCTAGGAATCCCTCCCACCACTTGGCAACCCTCGCTACTGAGAGGCCCCGCACGACATTTAGTGCAAATGTCTGTGCTCGTCGTGCGTCGTTTACGTCAGGTTTTACGCCTGCTGAGAAACTGGTGCATGCTCCGTGGTACCTGACATTTCCACAAGTACGTGTTTCAATTCCAGGAATCCAGAAAAAGTCAAATTTGCCTGCATCATCCCTAAAACAATTGAGCTTGAGCCTACTGCACAAAATATACAACAACCATGCGCACATATACACCGATCGTTCAACCACAGCGTCTGGTTCTGGAGATGCTGTGGCGATTCCAGCTAGAGGAATCACTCTGCGATCAAACTGTAACATGTCACTACGTCTACGGCGGCAGAACTTGTGGCTTTGCGTGGCACCCTAGAGTACATAAAATCCCAAAGACCGAGTAAATGGGCTGTGTTTTCCGACTCGAAATTAGCCCTACAGAGCATGCAGTCAGTCCTTCGACGAGATTGCCATGAAATTACGTACGTAAGTTGTCAAGCTTTGTTCACCACGTCACAGAAACAGGCCACGCGGTCAAGTTTCAGTGGCTTCCTGGCCATTGTGGGATCATGGCAATGATTCCGAAGACAACGCGGCTCGCACTTCGCACCAAGAAGAGCACACCCTTCCGATTCCTTTGTCAAGGACTGACGCTGCAAAGCAACTTCGTTACCTGGCACGTAGTCTGAGTCTGCAGGAGTGGAACACCCCAAGCATAAGACATACAGACTATACCAATAAACCCTCGACTGGAACTTCGACCTCATCTGGACTTCGTCGACGTGAAGCTTCACTTCATTTGGCGCCTTTGGTTTGGGGGTTTCCTTCACAAAGCATATAGAACCTTCATCGGAGGACCGACTATGCGGAATGCGACGTCTGCAGCACCAAAGAAGACATCGACCATCTGATATGCCATTGCCCTCGATTTGCCTCTGAAAGACAGAAGCTTTCGGACGCATTGCGACAATTGGACGATCGGCCACTCTCTGAGCAGGTGCTACTGGAACACCGTCATCCCCTTTCTTCGGCTCAAAAAGCAGTCAAAGCTGTCTTGTGCTTTTTGAGGACTACAGGCCTACGTGACCACCATTAACTTTTGTGTAGTGCCACCGCTGTATACATGCCAGCCGATTGACTGACAATCCTCCTTTTTTGTTTTTTCTCTCTCTCTTTCTCTTCTCTTTCCTCTCTCTCTCATCTTTATGCCCCCTTACCATTCTCCCAGCGTAGAATAGCAAACCGGGCATGTGCCTGGTTAACCTCCCTGCCTTCCCTCTTGTTGTTTATCCCCCCCCCTCAATGTAAATGTAAAGAAAGGGATGTGCACAAAATGGCAAAATTAGGCTGCATCGCCCCTTAGGACTTCAAGCACCTTTAAGGTCATGCGCGAATGTTTCACCCACAAAGTGTCATGCATATTCTCTGATACTGAAATTGAAGTTATTACCATAAAAATTTGAGCATATGTAAGAGCGGAGTAGCCAAATACATGGGGGGAGGGGCATGTTGTCTCGCAAGAAAGCATTACGAGCGCGCCTGCACTGTATAATAATGACACACGCGTTTTTTCAGAGGGCACTGAAGATATTTTTCATGTTAATTTAACACTGCTACCGACTTCGCGCGAAGCACACCAAAATGAATTGTTCAGGAAATAAACTTTATTTTAAATTACCATGTTTTCTTTCCCCTAGTAAAACATGCCTTTTCTTGTTAGTGTTTTTTCTTTCCACACCTAGTCGCGCTTTTATCAGAGCACCCATATATTCTTTTTAATCAATGTTCAATAAAAAAGACGCATTTATTCTTGCCAGACACCAGGTAAGCCGTTAACAATAATTATCTTTTTGTATACCAATTTGAAATGCAAAAAATTGTAAAAATTTTATCAAGAATTTCAATTTCATTATCAAACCCTATAGCTCACCCAGTCACGCATCAATCTTTGACTGTACGTTGATGTCTATGGTGATAGGTTTCCTATCACTTTCGTATCACTTTTCGTTCCGACGTTTAAAGCATTATGGATTGTCCATGATAGTACTATGCTGCTCCGTAAAACCATAGTGCCGGTTATTTTGTACGCTGTCACGTTTACCTGTGCGCAATTGCGAAACTGGGTCCGATTATCTCCGTCCTGCTCATTCATGGGTGGTATTTTTTTTATTCTCCCTCACAGAGTGCCTACTGTGGACCATGACGAAAACATTTCATGACATCCCCGACGACTGCATGACCGTGTACAAGAACACATGCAAAGATGCGATGAAGCCCTATGACAAAGAAAGCTGCTCGGAAATATTTCACTAGGAACACAATTTCTTGGGAATAAACTCACACTGATAAACTGTAATTTTTCAGTAAGATCAAGAGAATAGAGCTAGTTCAGCGAAATTTGAAAATACTTTGGCACAATGCTAAACCCACACAAGACAATGTAAGCGTAACACTGATCGTGTTCGGTTTAGAACCAATCAGTAGCAGTTACGGGAATAAACACTCGCGTGTTTGAATTGTGAACTTGATGAATGCCTGTCTCTTAACATGGTACGAATTTCGACGGTATTTCACAATAAACACAAACAATATGCAAGGTTGTTAGCCGCAACCTAATCATACCAATGTATGGTTTGTCCTCACGTGGCACACGTTGACGTATATTTAGATTCTTTTGCATTTATTGAGTTCATTATGACAAAATATGGATAACGCATATTATTTACATTAAAGCCAAGTTCATTTGCTTTGCTTTTCTTCAAGCAAATTATGCTATCGAGAGAAACCTCGGTATCTCGATGACGTAACGGATGGAGGACACGGTCAATGGATTGTATGAGTACTGTTGCGGTACACAGTTACCGCGTTTGTGATTGTGTGATATAACGAGATTCTGCTGCGCTGGGTAGAGTGCTAAAGTTACACTGTAGGTGACGCAAGAGTGCCCGTGAAGACACTAAAAAATAGCTCAAACTTCAAAGAAAACCAGGAGAGAAAAGACTGAAGGAGATGACCCTCTCACGTAGCCTGTTGCTTCGCTGTCATTTCTTTATTATTTTCCAAAACAAAGAAACGTCAAGTTCTCACAATTATGTCTGACAGCTGTTCATGCACGAGTGCTTAATAGACAGGTGGCATCACTAGGGTGCAATGGCAGTTTCCTCCATCGCCCGAGTGGACAGGACATTAAGAACAGTGTTCAGGATCCACCGTTCTGTGGTCCCCACAGCCACTACGAATAGCTGTTCGTTCTACTTTGATGTATCAACTTACACCGTAGCTTCAAAGAAGTACAATAGAAACTTTTCATAGTTATAAAAGCACCAACCTATGTTAAAGTATGTTGCTTGTTTAGTGCCATGACTGGTGGCATAGTAAAAACAAACTATGTGCGACATCTCCACAGATACTCCAAACAAATAATCACAATCAGTGACGGGGCTTCGTTTGGAAGTGTGTTGAGGTTTCAATCTTCCCTTAAACGGATTGAATGGTGTGCTGTTCTGTAGCCTTTTACTGCTTAGATGATGAGGCAAGGAGGACGACTGGAAGGATTTCACAGGCACAAATGCGTGCTGCTGGTGTGGCGTCTTTTTTACTCAGCAATGGTGGGTGAAGGATCACGAAAACGTTCTCATGAGGAGAGTGCCCTAGATGTTATCAAAAAAGCCTTTGCAATTTAGTTCGTTGAAGCGCATGATTATATTGTCGCAGTGGTCCTCGGAAAGGCCGAAACATTTTTGCGGGCAACTGTGCACCACATCTTTTATGAAACCCAAGGCACAATATGGAAAGAAAAGCAACTCCCTCTAATGTTTGTAATAGTTATAGAAAGATCACACACACATTAAATAAATTGAAAGGAAAATACACTGGCACACACTGAGAGAAGACAAACAGTAAAAGTGCGTCCACTGTGTTTGGAAAACCAATAGGATATATAATTTCTGGAAAGATGAACGAGTGCAAACGCCACTCATAAACAACCATGAGCGTGTGTGCTCATTATCTATCTATCTATCTATCTATCTATCTATCTATCTATCTATCTATCTATCTATCTATCTATCTATCTATCTATCTATCTATCTATCTATCTATCTATCTATCTATCTATCTATCTATCTATCTATCTATCTATCTATCTATCTATCTATATAACAGTTTAGTCTAGGTACTTTTCTAGTCAGCTCGACAACTTTTAAGTAGCACATTTCGTTGCAGGGAATCAATGTATGTCAAGCACGATCATTTCAATTTTCGCAATTTCAAATGAAGCAGTTGTATGATGAAGCTGTGTAGTTGCTTTTTTTAAACTTCAAGGATTATATCAGCCAATAAGAGTGTCGAAGCATGCATTAGCAAAAAATGAAGAGGCTCCTCTCTAATTCTACCTACATAACAGGCATGCATAATTTTTTTGAGTTTGATGAGCATGATTACGTTGCAAGACAATTCTTTCTGACGCATAAGGCCCTGACATATATTTTTGTCCTTTCCTGATACTACGGTATCTCTTGCAATGAGACCGAAAACTGTGGCTAAGGCGTTGTTTATGAAATCGAGGGCCTAAACAAAATAATAGCGAATGGAGGATCTAGGCAGTCAGAAAGCTATAGAGAGAGGGCACGTATACAAGATAAAACACAAAAAGTCACGGCTTTTCCGCAAAGGCCAAGTAATGAACGCAATAGCAACTAATTGGAAGGTCAAGCGCAGAATTGCAAGCAGATTGAAACGTGCCCCGCGTTTCTCACGCACAAATGACGCACGAAACGTACTCACAGGTACAGATACAGATGAACTCGAATAAGCGTCTCAGTTGTCACTTCACCGTGCCTAAAAAGCGCGCCCTTTTCGCAAACGGAGGCTGTGCAAACGATTGCTGTGACCTTTGTGCTCCCGGAACTACAACAGAATCGTTCCGACGAAACCCAAGGCCTAGCCAAGACGTACGATTCTCCCCACTGCAAGATAAGGGCACGCGATCAAGCGTACACCTCCTTATTCTCTACTTGGGCCAAAGTACGCGTGAGAGATGAGAGCCGCCGTGAGCTCACTGCACTATCTTGCTGATAATGCTGAAAAAACGATAGTTCCCCCGCCGAGATGCCCACCAACAGTGGTAAGTGGTAGATATGAATAGCCTGTCGTTTGAACGATGAAGCAGGTACCCTTTGGTGTCTCAGTAGTGAACGCCTTGCATTCACGATGCGGAGGGCCCACGTTCGATTCCGTGCGGCGGAGTCTTCTTTTCTGGATTTTTTTTCTTTCTTGCGTTTTCATATATATAGATACGTATACATATACGGTGCATGACACCGATGTCGACGCTCACGCCGGCGGCGAAATCCAGCCAAGAGTGTTCATAGAATTGTTATCGCAATAAAAGCTACTCACTCAGACCTGGATGCTCCCTAAATGTTGTATGGAATTTAGTGGATTCGTCTACACTACGTTGAAATGGTTTGCCTTGGTTCATAGGCTCAACGGTATATATGGGTGGAAATTCAAGCATTACTGAGGTGCTCATAGTTATCTTCCGCCACGACATAAATAAAAAGAAGGAAATGTAGTTGGTCTTTACGAAGACGTTAGAGTAGCTGGCCCAACGCAATAGATGAAAGCGCACATTGTGAGCCACATCTAGAACTGAGTAGCGCCAGGCATTTTTTTTGCACAGTGTCAGCCATGTCACTCCGTACCACCTGCTTTAGCCTTTTCCTTCCGTGAAATTAGATGAGAGGATTAAAGCTTCGTGCACGCATGACACAATGCGGGAGGTGCTGTTCGACGTTTTCAGTCTCGTTAGAACACGCACGTCCCTCTTTTTTCTCGTATTCTATTGGTCATATCTTCGTGAAAATTGTTACATACTATTTTCAAGCACGCGATTTAGATGTTACGTAGACATATTTTCTGTTGTCATGCAAAAAGCATACCCAATTAAAAAAAATTCGGCAGATCCCACTTACCTAGGAATCAACGTTACGCGAAGCATACGGAAGGACGGTGATCGTGCTGCAATTTTTTTATTAAGAATATGTCTCGAAATGACGCTAAATACATGTACAGCGTTGAAGAGTTATATATATATATATATATATATATATATATATATATATATATATATATATATATATATATATATATATATATATTGCACATACTTGTTACGTTGAACATACATGTATGTTGAAGAGTTGCACATCTTTATATAACCAGTAGTTTGCACTTGCGCAACGATGCAAACTGGAACATGTGTATTAGCAACACCAGAAGCTGATATGAAGTGCTTATGCTCGCGAGGATGCTGACCTTGGACACTGTTACATAAATCAACTTCAGCGCATGGTAACTAACCACAGTTGACGTTAACCCGACGTGACAGCTGTTTGAAAGGAGTACAATTGTAATGTTCATAAAATGGGTAGGCAAGCATTGCAACTGCTATTGATGTTTTACGAAGATTAGCGTCTATTTGCAAAGTAGTTCCAAGACCTGGTGTAGCTCTGTGGTAAAATGCTTCATTGCCACGCAGAATACTTGGTTTGATTTCCAGCTGAAACCCTGACATATACACTATGCATTCGACGGGTCGACGCTACCGATGTCAGGTATGTATAAACGCTCGCGCGTTACAATTGCCCATTTGTGTTCTTGTCGTTCCTGGGTACAATACTAAGTGTCAATTACCTGTGGCACATAACCCCATACCAGCGGCTATTACCCGCCCGTGGGTATGCTCCGCTGTTTTGTGGAACGTGTTTGACGACGCACGCGACGACATTGTGACAGTATTCATGTTTTGGACAGTGCGCCATACTCGTCGAATCATCTTACTCTCTCTTATATATATATATATATATATATATATATTATATATATATATATAGATATATATATATATATATATATATATATATATATATATATATATATATATATATATATATATATATAGATATATATATATATATATATAATGTCACGTGGGCCACAAGATTGTCTTCTTCGTTCTCGAGTCAAGCCAGAGGCCCACTGCCTGGTGTCCGATATATATATATATATATATATGCGTGCTCGTTAGATCGTTGCAAAGAGACCTTATACAGGCGTTATGTTGGAAAGAAACAGCATTGGAGTGTGTAACGTAGCGTGGTGGGAAAGTAAAATAACAATCAGGCAACACACAATGCGTATTCTGTAACGAACCGTAACGCAATACGACGTCTGAAACCACAGGTCGTTGAATGCTTCCAACTGATACCAAAGAGGCTCGTAAACTCTTTATCGCTTTTAGCCACCGGATCGACTAACCACATATAATGTCTTCCCTAAATAAAAAAAAATACTCTTTTTCACATAAAAATGTTGCTTCTT